ATCATCACCCAGTTACCCATCACATTTAGTGAAGTGGACCCAAGCTTTAGCGTGCGTTCTCTCTACCATGCTGCTCTGTTTACAACGCGCTCGCAGCGAGCGACGACATTATGCTCTTGCGCATGCGCAGCTGTCTAGGCAAGTCCTCGTTATGAAGGACGGGTACCGAAACGAGGCACCGTTTCAAATGACGTGAATCAGTGCTCAGTCAGTACTGTGGAATTCGGTCGGTACCTATCTCCAGCGGTCAATGGGCAATCAGGCGGGGTACACCCTGGACAGAGAGCCAGTCCATCGCAGGGCAACACAGAGACACACAGGACAAACAAACAAACACACACACTCACACCTAAGGACAATTTAGACAGTCATCAACCTAACGGTCATGGTTTTGGACTGTGGGAGGAAGACAGAGAAACTGGAGAGAACCCACACATGCACAGGGAGAACATGCAAACTCCATGCAGAAAGATCCCAGGCTGGGAAGCGAACCCAGGTCCTTCTTGCTGCAAGGCAACAGCTCTAACCACTGTGCCACTGCGCAGCACACTAGCCGAAACTTGTCAGGTAAAAAGAGTAAAAACAAATGAAAACTCTGTTTGGAAAAGAACCAAATATTGGAAATTGATGAATTACACAGAAAAAACCTACAAAAGATTTGAAACAACAGTTTAGTAGATGAGATTCTGCATCGTCTACCCTCACTCCCACTAACATCACGCCCTCTTCTGGCATGAAGTCAGGGGTGGTTCTAGGCATTAGAGGGGGTGGAGGTGGTCAAGCTGCTCCTTAAGAGAGGTGCACTTGTGAGAAACCATTAAAAGCGTGTCCTTTGGTAGAAGAATTGAGTTACAGTTGCTTCAACAGCGTTCCATCAAATTTCAGAACATAACTCTATAAAAAAGGTCGCAAAAACTACGTCTATTTCTTAGTTATCCTTCTCAGTAAAATTATGACAGTATTTGTCTTTTTTCAACTTCGACACATGCTGTGGTTCCACATGTTGCTTTAGGCTACCCCACCCTCAGCTGGGGAGCCACAGAGGGGGCCAAATCAGGGTGACACTGGCCCACACTGGGCCCCTCCTAGAGCCACCCCTGCACATAAAGGAAGTTAAAAATGTTCACAGATAAAGTAGGAATCAGCAACGACTCCTTAAAGCACAATGTGATTAAAAATCGACAGAACCTTGTAAAGCAAGTTTTTATCAAGTTTGGTTGAAAGATGAACAAGAGCTAGAAAATCTCCTTCAGAGGGAGTTCTGCAGGAGAACCTGAAAGAACCTCTGAAGATTTAACAACATCAGCTCTCCTGAATCTACAAAAATCCATTTTTAGTCAGTGGTTTCACTCTTGCTGCACATAAAATAATAGACCTTCTCGTACATAAAACGTTAGTTCCAGCGATGCTTCCTGCGTGTGTAATGTGTAAAATACTCTCCGAGCGTCCATTAACGATGATTTAACAAGCCAGACGTTTATTGTTGTACATTAATTGCCCGCCTGTGGCACTAGATCGCAGGCTACCATGATCTCTGCAGCCCCTTCGCTCCTCTGATGCATGCTTTAGATGCACAGGTAGAGTCGGCTTTCATCCGAGGGTGTAGCTCTCATTAAGAATGATGCATAAGCTGTTAAAGGTGCTGTGATGTGTTTTCTCACGCGTGGTTCATTATCTCTGCTTTGAAGATTTAAGTCTGGCTTTTGGTGTAAAAATATAAAAGTATAAACTCATGAGTGGCCTGTTTGGACATACAGCTAAATGCCTAACTAGTAGTTAATGCAAAAGTTGTTTGAACACTTTTACAGTTATTCTGCAGTATTCTGTATTTTGACTCCTGCACTAGAAAACCACATTTTCCTTTATTTGTTTATAAATAGAAGTCACATGAACCACTGTGAAAAGCTGTTTAAAGATGGCAGCAGCAGTCTGTTCTCAGTCTTATTAACAAATCAGTCATAATCTGTATTTCTCTGAGTGTAGGCCGCACTGGAGGTTACCTACAGTTACAGCGATACAATAAAAATGACTAATATCTCCTTATTGTCAAAATTTTACTCATTTCTCCACGGAGGCACCAGAAAACGATTAGAAATGATCTTTACTTTGTTTACATCGTTTTTACGATGTCAGATGTTCTTACCACAGACTCAGGAGGACGGCTGGAGGCCTGCGTGCAACAGAATATCTGTTATAAAATAATCTGCAGGGTTTAAAGGGTTAAATCATCTGGGTTCATAGATTAATGCGGCTCTTTTCTGGATTCATGTGAACCGGTGGCTTTAAAGCTGAAGGAAATTCAGCTCTTTCTAAAAATGAGGAAAATCTTTAGATGAATTAAAAATAAAAAGTACTTGCTTTGACTCAACTGGCTGAGATTCATTATTGAAGCAATCGTTTCTCACACTTTTTGCCTTTCTTCCTGAAATTCTGGTTAAAGAGCAAGTCACCCCCAAATCAACTTATTTTTCCTGATAAACTATATAAATGTGTGTCTAGTCGTGCTGCAGACACGTGTCGTCGGTAGTTTTGCACTTTAGTGCATTTTAGTTCAAATGTACATTTTCTGCCTAAAACTGTCAGTGTTGTGCCGTCGTCAGGTTAAAACTCTGCACCGCATTTGAATTTAAATCTGCCATCGCTATTGGCTTAGAGCTACCCTAGAACGTTAGCTGGTACCATATGATGTCACAATGTCGTTGTGTGTGTGTGTGTGTGTGTGTGTGTGTGTGTGTGTGTGTGTGTGTGTGTGTGTGTGTGTGTGTGTGTGTGTGTGTGTGTGTGTGTGTGTGTGTGTGTGTGTGTGTGTGTGTGGCGTGGTTAACTACACACTAGGATTTAACACTGTTTGCTATCAGTCTGGTTAGATCCTGAGAAAAGATCAAACAAGTTAACAATGAATAGGATATTATATATTCGGTAGAAGTTCATATGCCAACGAGCTTGGTCTATTTTTAATCCAAAGGTTTTTTTTAACATAATTAAATTTAAAAGCAAAAGTTTATTTATTGAATCAGAAGTTTAAAGAAGTCTTTGCTTATTCAATGACCAAAAATATACACCATTCTGTGTTTCATTTCAAAGGAGAGTCAGAGTTTTTAAAAAAGTTAAGAATTTATTACTAACACTTTAAAAATGGTCATTTTTAAACAGCTTTGATATTAAAACTTGTTTTAAAAAGCAAACCTGTGACGGAATGGAAACTAAAATGAAATGCAAGGTTTGGGATGCGTGAATGAATCTCAGAGGGTTTCTTTCAGCGAGAGAAGCGTTCTGGGAGGAAAGTTGTTTTGCAGCTAACTGATGTTACTTAGAGAAAACGGCATCGGACACCATCTGTGTGCTACCTCACCCAGCAAGACGACCCTCTGTGTGAATCCGAAGGTCAAAGGAGGATGTTGTCAGCCTCAGGGTACTCGGTCCGGTAGAGAAGACCTGAATAGAACCGATCCTCTGGTCCAGAGTTGTTGCAGGGTACACGGTGTCGAGCGACTGGCTTAACTCTGAAGGAGTTTTTGAGTCAGCTGGTTACAGGTGTGTTTATTCGAAGCAAGACTATCGGCGTGACAGAATGATTAGTAGAGATTTGGGCGGCCGTCCCTCGTCTTCTGGTGGGTTCAAGAACTGACCTTACAGCTGCGGAGATTTGGTTTTAACAAAACCTCAGAACACGCCCTCTCAGCTTCAGAAAGCTTGGTCATGAAGTAAAGAACATGTGAGGTGGTTACCTTTACCCTGGATTCACCCTCTGCGTGAGGTGGTTAAACGTGCAAATGACCTTCTGGTTTACTGAACACACATTACTGGTTATCATAATAATAATTATTATTATCAAAGCATAGTAAGTCATTCCAGTAATTAAAATACATTTATACTGAACCAAGATGATTGTTTATGATGGTTGTAATAAACAGTAATAAAGTCATAGAGTTTATTAAAATTATTATTTAAAATTATTATTGTGAAATCTTGAAGTGTCCTTCATCTTGGGACGGAACAGCAGCAGATAAAGATGGTGTTCAGCAGACATCACGGCTCCTGGCGGGTTAATCTGTGGGGCAAAGTTACAGTTCGACCCAGCTTGACCCAGCTGGGAAAATGTGACCTTTGTCACAAATTTGAGGCCATTCATGACTCTACGTGTGTGTGTGTGTGTGTGTGTGTGTGTGTGTGTGTGTGTGTGTGTGTGTGTGTGTGTGTGTGTGTGTGTGTGTGTGTGTGTGTGTGTGTGTTTGTTAGCGGCTCCGCCCTCTTGGATTGCTAGGCAACAGTATTTGTTGCATTTTTCAAACAGAAAGTGGGAGTGGAGTTACACTCTGGTAGGGGGGTGACTTGCTCTTTAAGTTCTGGCAACAAACCCGTCTAGAATGAAGAACTGGAGACTTCAGCATAAAACAAACACATTATTAATGTCTAACAACGGAAGTACCTCATAAAAACAGCTGATTTTAGAAAGGAAAAAGCATGTCATAGATAATTAAAATCCAAATAGTGATGCATTAGTTACAGAAGAATGTACATTTTTGACACCTTGATGCAAAAACATGGCCTCCTGTTACAGCTCATTGATCGGCTCTTGGACTTTCAGTTTGAATTGACTTTCAGTCAAAAGCAGCGAGGCCCGGTGTTAATCATTCATATTAAAACATCTGGAATAATAACAGGCTTGAAACACATTAATACATGTTAAATGGAATGTAGGAGAAATTACATTTTGCCAAAACAATATTCAGAAGGTGGTCATTCAGTGCTCATCTCATTACCATCTGCTTAATGCATATCAAATGGGATATACTGGGAGCGATGGAGTCATCTCTCAGAATTACGCTCTGCATATAAATAGCTACTTAGTGTTTTTTTTTTTATTTGTTATTTCTGTGGTCTGCTTTTGCATATCGGACACATTCAAATAAGCTTTTGACATTTCAGTTCCTTAGCCGTGTCTTGGTTTGATATGAGAGGATGTTTGCCTCATGTCACCTCTCCGGTTCTGTTTCCAGGATGATTCCCAGGACCCACCGGGCCTTCGCCGTCACTAACCTGGTCCCGGGGATGCAGTATGACCTGTGTGTTCTGGCCATCTGGGACGACACTGCCACCACCCTCACTGCCACCAACATCGTGGGCTGCGCGCAGTTCATCACCAGGGACGAGTACCCACAGTGTCAGTCCCTTCACAGCGGCTTCATGGGCGGCACCATGATTCTGGTGATTGGCGGCATCATCGTGGCGACGCTGTTGGTGTTCATCATCATCCTCATGGTCCGCTACAAAGTCACCAGTGGGATTCAGACCAGTAAGATGCCCAGCGTGAGCAACACGTACTCTCAGACCAACGGGGGAGTGAACCGATTTAACGGCGCCCCGCCTCAAGTCAAGTCCACAGTGGTGGTCATGCGTGAGGAGATGGTGGAGTTTAAATGTGGGTCCCTCCAGAGCAGCCTCTCCTCCTCGTCGTCGTCTTCTAACTCGTTAGAGAGCCAAACGGGAAGAGGCACCGGAGACTGCTACAGTGTTCGGGGCAGCGAGTGCAGCACCATGCCCGGCGGTAAGTTCAGGAGGCACGGGCACGGCACCAAAGCTCGCCAAAACTTGGACCACCTTTTAGGGGCCTTCACTTCTCTGGAGCTGCGAAGTGCAGCGAAGGAACACCAAGGAGCCTCGGGCTCCTCCGCCGCTCAGAACGCCATGACGGCGGTAGGCGTGGTGCCACCATCTGATAAAGAACCGCTGCTCGGGAGGGCCGAGTCCACCACGATGCTGGGGCGACTTCTGGGGTTTCCCCAGGAGGGGAAGCCTAAGAGGAGCCACTCGTTTGATATGGGTCACGTGGGGACGGCGCAGTGTCGCAGCAGCCAGCCGCGCAGGATCAGCAACATCTGGACTAAACGCAGTTTGTCTGTTAATGGGATGCTGCTGCAGTACGATGACAGTGAGGATGAGAAGCCCACGTTTGAGAGCTCTGAGTGGGTCATGGAGAGCACGGTTTGAGTCAAGCCTACAAGGCTCACCACCAAACTCTAGATCCACGTGACAAACTACCCCGAGTACAGAGAGAGGGAGTGTCAACCATGTGAATACTGTTGAAAAGACACACAAATGCTTGGAAAACTGTCCATAATCAGAACTCTCTGACACGTTTGCCTATATTTGAAAGATTTCATTTAAAATAACTGGAAAAAATCCTCATATGGAATAACTGTTGCTCCTCAGTCAAAGAGAACGATAAGATATTCAGAGTGGATTTATTATGACTTCATCAAAGGACCCAAATGCCGAGAGGATTTGCCTCGACTCGAGTCGCGATGTCGTGGACTACATCCCGACATGGAACAGCGAGGAGAGGGACCACAGAAGCTCGTATAGTAGAAAAAGAGTCATTTTTATTTTCATCTGTGTTTTTCTATCATTTTTACTATTTATTATTTGAAGTAATTCATCAGAAACCTGAAGCGCATCTTTGTAATGAGGTCTTAGTTTCCTGCACCAGTCGTACCGACTTGTGGTAACATTTTATACGTGTCTGACCAATTCTCTTTTTTTGTTTTTAAATCACAAATTGACATGAAATACGCCCCGGAACCACAGCTAACCAGTCTTGTATTTCTACCTCAGGCGACACATATGAGGTTTGTGGCAAGTGGCACCATCAAATGCTGATTAAACCTCCGTATTCTGTTCTGGAACACCGAGAGGCAACGTTCTGTTTTATCCAAGTGGGGTTGTCCTGAGCAGTCGGTGTCTAACCTGCAGCAGACGGTGGTTAGGGCTCTCCAAAGCCCGGTTTGCATCGCAGATTTCTAAAATACTCGACAGTTTTCAAAGCATGAAAGGCCACACACGTGGTGAAAAAAAAAATCATGGATATACATGTGGCGTGCGGCAACATGGCCAATACTACACACAATCCAGTTTCACTCACAAACACTCTCGCTCAGACGGGAAATCTCGTGAGATTAAATGCGACTTCAAAGAAAAAAAACCATGGCTGGGGAGGACCATGCAGTGCACTTCGGTTGCCTCGCTTTCTGATTAGCTACGCGTCTCAATGAACGGGTCTGTCCTCAAAAATCAGACCAAGACATTCCAACGTTTTAAAGTCCAGATTTGTGATCGGAATGGTGGCCGAGGAGACCAGAGCTCTCGTAACACACCACACACGGTAGGATTATCTGATAAGATTATCTTTAGAGCCTTTGCGACGATAAGATTGCCAAAACGGGCGGGGATCAAAAATCTGCTTTGTTAGTCTGCCGTGTGAACTGGGATTAAGGTTAGAGAATCGTGGTCGAGCTACAAGCTGACGGACCACTTTCTTCAGGTGAAAAATGAGAAGATGGTGAAAAAGTTCTTTTGTGTCAGTAACTTAGCTTAAAAGGTGAAACTAATCTATGGGACAGACTCGTTCCATGCAAAGCTAGAAGTTTCATTTGTTATGATCATGGCTTACAGCTGATGAAAGCCCCACATTCCTAATCTCAGACAACCAGATTATTGTAAAAAGGTTCATTGTTCTAGACTCACAGTGCCACACGCAAATCAGCGGATGAATCCAGAACACCTTGTGATGGAATCAGGTGTAACTAAGGGATCCAATCGGGGTGCCAGCCAGGTCTCTCTCCTGACATATAAGAAATAAATACAACTATCAACAACTTTCCCTCGTAACACTCACCGACGTCACAACACAAAGGATGTAAACACTTATCACCCGAACCTGGACTGAAACAAACAAACCCAAATAATCTCATAAGCATAAGGCAAAAGCGGGTGTGTATTAAATCAGATCGTTTGCAACAACATATATAATTATTAATGGAAACGTCTGAGAGTCACGATCAGATACATTCAGTTCCGTTCAGATAATTTCCAAAAGAAAAATGTACGTCCATAATCCACTCGGCAAAAAAAAACAACAACAACAACTAGGATTATCGTTTTAGGTTCAGTATACAGCAGCTGCAGCAAACGCCGCGTCGATCAGCTGTTTACTCGCGGTACCGCTGAGGACCCGACAGGCCGCTGCTTCGGCGGCTCACCAGAACACACGCTCCCAGCTTCCTCCTCCAGCAGGTCAGAGAGGTCACATGAGTCCGCTAGCCTCTCCCTAGTCGTTGGTGCGATAATCCTTAGTCCATAACACCGCTTGGCAGCGTCTGATCGAACTCACTTCCTCCTGCTTCCAGCGTCCTCCAGACAGGTGAGGGAGGACCACTCTCGGGAGGGGCGTGTCTCCTAATTCACCTCTTATAGGAGTCAGGCAGACAAAACGATCAATAAAACAATACTCAACGTGATGCAGCCTTTCTCTTAGGTCACAGAAATCAGCAACAAAAACAAAGACGATGACCTCCGAACTGTATTTCACACATATTTAAATAATTTATCAAGTTCAACCAAAGCCGATAGGCACCAGGTTACAGACATGGGCTGTTACCACCTGAGCCTTTAGGTGGTCTCTCAGTCTGAGCTGATGACGAACTTTTGCGCCAGATTCTCGTTTTTCCAGTTTCGCCTGTTCTTCATCACAGACAACCCCACTTTTTAAAATGTAGCCAACCTTCTCCAACCAGCCAAAGCCAGCATTTGTCCAGCTTTGTGAGTTATTGAATTATCTCCCCGTTGCTTTAGCGTCGTCCCTGTAGGCTAACGGGGGCCGCTGAGTCCAGGTACAAGATTCAATCAGCACACATTACAGCAGCCAAACGGTGTCTGGAATTCATCGGGCCCTCTTAATCGTTGGCCCAGAGCAGCAGCAGCATGATGTATCACCGGGCTGGGATCCTCACAAACAACAGAGCACGATCATCACTCATTTAGCCAGGTTAAACGGAGGAATTTGTCATTTATTGGCTGGATAAAGGTCAGCGTGCTGCTTTTGATGGGATGTTCAATGGAAATAAGGGACAGAAAAAAGTTATGAGGAGCCAATAAGCTGGATTCTGTTTCAGCAGATTGCATAACACAAAATCCTTTTACTTCTTTTTCTGCTTTTATTTTGCCTCCTTTCGTACCGAGCTGCAGCGCTGCAGATTGAATGAGTCACTCTTCAGATCACTGCCTCCAATCAGCTGCAACATCCCTGCATCTTAACGCCTTCCTCAGTATTACGTGGGACTCTGCTACTCTTCAGAAACACTGACTGATTGAGTTTGTTGTTTTTCTCCCCTCCTACGGTAGATGTGCTGTTCTGTATATTGGCATATTTTTTGTACAATATCTGGGTGAGAATGTAAATGGGCGGGGAGCGTGCAGTAGTACTTTTATTTTTATGTCAAGCAAACAGTGAGAAGGTGCGTTACTGTGGTGTACCAACAAGGTCGTCGTTAGTCGGCTTACAGAAATGGGATTTTCCACGGAGCTGCAAGCATGGAGAGAAGGAGCTGAAACTCCTAAACGAACGATTCACTCAGACGGGCAAAGTGCAAATGTCCAAAAACACCTCTTGATGACGCCGCTGTGGCTTTTAGTGGCCTGCAGGTTCAAACAGACATTTAATATTTAAACTGTACACGTTTTTAGACTTTTAAACATCTATCCTTAAGCTTCCATTCACACATAAACCTGAAGTTTTACATCTAAGAAATTTAAAAATGTTTCACTATTAAAGGAGACGTCAGGCAAAACTCTTCTTTTTCATCCTTTTGTGTTGCCATATGGGTCTCTTCAGCTTCTATTAACACTCCAAATAAAGAAAATATGTGCCTAAAACAAAATATCCCCGTTTGTGACATCACAACTGAAACAGCTCATTCTGGAAGGTACTGAAAAATTCTAAACTATGGCCGTTTCTCAATGCGCATACTTGTCTGTACTTGTACTCACGTCCTAAGGACTGTTCCAATCCTGAGTATGCATCATGGCAAGCTCACTCAAATTTCCCGAATGCGTTCTTGCTCGACCGATTGTATCGAGGATGCATCAATACATCCTTTTGCCCACTTGGGACAGCAGTTTCCCATAATGCATTGCGTCGCAACAGTCAGAGGAGAAATCTAATAACTGTAGTTTTATATCAGAAATACTAATAAAGAAATATTAAGTTGCCTGTTATTGTAAATAAATATGTGTAACTGGTCAAATCTGCTGTGTGTATTTGAAATTAACTTTGCACAATCCCTCAAATCGCTAGTCCACTATCAAAATAAAAGCACAGTAGCTCTGGTTTGATGAAAACACTTTTTAACTCGTTTAACAGCTGAAAATGTTGGTATTTTATCAGTTTTGATCAACAGTGGACCAAATATAATACAATTAATGTTTATGTGGTTATTTTGTTAAGGAACAAGAAAGACTTTTATTTTCATGTCAGCTCGTTTGAGCGTAGCTAGAAACGAGCAGCGCTTGTTGCCATGACGCAACGGATTACGGCTCTGTTCGGAACGCCGTCCTCGTCCTCCCGTACTCGGCAGAACGGACTTTCTGGAGTCCTTGCCAAGAACATACTTGTCTAGTACACTAGAATGTACTTGTGTCCTTGAGAATCGGCCTAAATCTGTGTTCTGAGGATTATTTTCTACTCAAATCTCCAAACGTTGTTATTTTAGACTTAAAATCATTTGCATCAATAATCTAGAAGATTTACCAGAAGTTTCTGTTTGCCTTGATCTATTTCAAAAGGCGGCTGAAGATTTAGATTTAATCAAACGTAAGCAAAATTGTTTTGCATTGAATTCATAAACCTCTCAAACTTTTTTGCAAAGAAGTCTTTTCACTTATAAACAATAAACAGAAGGACATTCTCCCATGTTTGTGCCGTGAAGACACACTTTAGCAGCAGCAACAGTGTTTTAACACGTTTTCGTGAATTAAGATGGAACTTTTAAAAAAGCAGGCTAATAAAACCAAAGGCGGTTTCTTTTATTGATCATTTTGAATCGATCGATCGGCTGTTTTTGGCTCCGTGTAAAATCTCAAAGGTCTGCTGATTAACTCTAAATTTAAATGTGTATTTGACTCGACATAGACGTGATTCTCACCTGACGTTCAACAACAAAACCGAGAAATCAAGACGTGTTTATGTGAAAACATTTTGCTACAAAAGAATATAAAATATTGATGAATTCCTATGATCCAAACTGGCTCCTGTGTGTCTTCTTTTAATGGTGTTTTGTGCCATCTTGCTTTGGCATTTTGATTCTTTTTGCATGCCATAACACACAGGAGGCTTGTGGAGTGTCCTCCTGTGTGTTATGGCCTCCTGGAGTGTTTTCCTCCAGAAGTCCAGCTGCTGTAATCAGGCCAGTCGCTGCTGACTCACCTCAATGCTGTCCTTATTACAGATCACCGGGACATGCAGCTCCTGGCCACAGCCCATAATAAGGCCCTAATTCATGTAATCTGTTAGCGAAGGTGCTTACGGCAGCACAGAGTAAATATAATCTCTACAAGGTGTGAGCGTTTCATGATGAGACTACGACATGCGCCTCGCGGCCGCTGGATGTCACACATGGAGGAAAAGCTCTCATCAGGTTTTGTGCTGCAGCCATTAGCGACATCTTCTAATAGATGCTCTGAATATAGAAATTAAAGATGCACGAAGTCAGCAGATAAGCAAGCGAGTCGCACACCCACTACTTTTTTATGACTGGAGTATTATGTTCAGTAGGAAAGTAAATCTGACAAACATCATAGTCTTTAACAAATCTGGTTTTGCACAGAGTGGCTCTGGAAAAGTCGTCGTCGTCTTCCTCCGCTCATCCGGGTCCGGGTCGCGGGGGCAGCATCCCAACTAGGGAGCTCCAGACCGTCCTCTCCCCGGCCACCTCCACCAGCTCCTCCGGCAGGACCCCAAGGCGTTCCCGGACCAGATTGGAGATGTAACCTCTCCAACGTGTCCTGGGTCGACCCGGGGGCCTCCTGCCGGCAGGACATGCCCGAAACACCTCCCCGGGGAGGCGTCCAGGAGGCATCCTGACCAGATGCCCAAACCACCTCAACTGGCTCCTTTCGATCCGGAGGAGCAGCGGTTCAACTCCGAGTCCCTCCCGAATGTCCGAGCTCCTCACCCTATCTCTGAGGCTGAGCCCGGCCACCCTACGGAGGAAACTCATTTGGGCCGCTTGTGTTCGCGATCTCGTTCAGAAAAGGTAAAAGCAAATCAGAGCTTTAATTTAGTCATTAAAGATCTTTGAATTTAACATTTTTGTTCATTCTTCTGGAGGCCGTCTGCTTCGCAGGACAAATTGTGAGGCTGTTGTTGGTTTAGCGTCCAGGAAACAGCAGAGAACATCTGGGCTAGTAGAAGCTAACATTAGCATTGGCAACTCCACCACACAGCAGAACTCCTCCAGGCTTGTGTGATTTGTGGAGATGAAGCATCAGTGTTGCAGAGCAAACAGAGTGAGCGGTAGAGTCGCGTTGCTGTTAGCCAATCAGAGGAGAGATGTCCACATATCAGGAAATAAGACTCACTCTTCCAAAATAATCACGAATACCGAATAGCTGAAATTGCTGACTAGCTGTTGATGAGAACTGCTGGGAGCCCTCGTCCTAGTCATCCAGGTCCTCGGTCAACTCTGACCTTTAGCACTATAGCCAGGGTTTGTTGTGCAGGGCGCCCGCCCCTTTTAGGAGTTTCTCTTTACTTTGATGCAGCTTTTTGATCACCAGCGACCCTGCAGCGAGTCTATCCGTGATCTGTCATGCCGGAACACGGCGGTTTGCAGCAGGTCGAGTTTGTTTAAAAGCTCAGCAAACTGCTGGAGGTCGTGTCAGAAAGTTTGCAGTGATGGGGAGCGCGGAGCGGGGGCTGGAGGTGTCCGTTACAAACAGCTCCTGTCTCCTACGTTAATAACCAGAATATTAGTGTCTGTTTATTCAGCGGCAAAGAGAGGAGTCTGAAACAAAAACCTGCCAGATGATATTTAGTGTCCTCTCAGATTTCCCACTCTGGATGTGAAAAGCAATCAGGCAAAACCCGCTGGATGCTGTTTTATTGTGTCAGGATGTAAAGAAGACTCTTCAGGACGGGAAAAGGAAAATGCAATTAAATCAGAACATCATTAGATTAACTGTCAGTCAGAAAGTTTCACATCCTTTTAAACTAATCATCCACTTCTGATTTATTCATGCCTAAGAAATAATGCAGCCGTGTCTTCTTACCGTCACAAACAGGGCGGCACAAAACATGTTTTATTAGAAGGTGTGAAACATCAATATTGTAAAGGTCTGTGGATGCGTTCTGCATAGTAATAAGACACCTGACCAATCAGATGGACTCACAGCCTGATTCATCCCACTGTGTTGCTCATTTTCCTAATATTGAAGAGCGGGTCACCTGTGCTGTTTTTGCATTTCATCCTTATTTTAGCAGATCTGGTGAGAAACTAATAATCATTAACTAATAATCGGGGCGACGGTGGCACAGGAGTTAAGCGCTCGCCTCGTAATCCGAAGGTTGCAGGTTCGAGCCTCCATCAGTCTGTCGCTGTCGTTGTGCCCTTGGGCAAGACACTTAACCCACCTTGCCTGCTGGTGGTGGTCGGAGGGACCGGTGGCGCCAGTGCTCGGCAGCCTCGCCTCTGTCAGTGCGCCCCAGGGCAGCTGTGGCTACATCGTAGCTCATCCCCACCAGGGTGTGAATGGGTGAATGACTGATTGTGTTGTAAAGCGCCTTGGGGGGTTCCAGGACTCTAGAGGGCGCTATATCAAATACAGGCCATTTACCATTTTCAAATACAGGTCAAAACGGCGTTTAGTTCAAAAGGTTGTTTATAGACATAAACCCGTTAGAAGCAGGAAAAATGAATCTGAACAGAATCACAGTCAAACAGTTGGAACATTTCCTGGTAAAAGTGCTTAAATTCATTATTACAAAAGTGGAGCATCACTCACCGGATGTGACACCTCATTAAGAGCGAAATACCAACGTAAGGCTGCACTTTCTGCATTTGCATCCTGGGGCAGATTTCCTCGGTATGTTCCACAGATTGTTCAATAAATGTGACTCTAGCTGAATTATTTACACTTCCAGGCTTCTAGGAGAGACTTGGTGACTGATGGACTCACCCTCCTCTTTAAATCTCAGCTTCTATAAACTTTACCTGCAGATGAACCAAGTACCCAAAGTGTCATTTTGCAACACCTTTGCGGCCGAATCGATTCTCCCTCCACAATCTCCGACCTTTCATCTTTCAGCTCGAGGACTCCTGCAGAACTCTGGAGTTTGACCTTAAATGTGAAGAAAGGTCCTGACGCCGGATCGCCTCGGCCGGCCGTGGACAGAAAGCACGTCGATACCCGCAGCTGCAAGTTAAAAGAGGAAGAAAGCGAAGAGCTGAGAAGTCTTTGAGTCGCCATTTTTATCAGCGACTTTAAAATCTGAAACATCCGTCTTTGGTGTCTCGTTTGACAGTTAATCGTTACGGCCGGACTGCCGAGGAGCTCGGACACGTTTTTGTTTACTGAATATCTGCAGGGGAGGATTAGGGGGAGGTTTAATTCCTGCATGAATCAGCAAAGAGCCTCAGGAAAAGAAAACCTGAGCCTAATTTGTTCCTGTCGGTGAGATACCATCAGAGGCATAATGCTTAAAAAGCAAGTCACCCCCAAATCAACTTTTTTTCCTGATAATCTACATAAACGAGTGTCTAATTGTGCTGTAGACATGTGCAGTCAATCATTTGGCACTTTAGTGCATCTTAGTTTTAAGCAGAATATTTAAATTTTAACTTTGTCAGGTAAAAACCTGCACTACATTTGAATTTAAATCTGCTAATGCTATTGGCTAAGAGGTACACTATGACGTTAGCTGGGACATTATGATGTCACAATGTCGTTGTGAGCCTGCATGTGTGTGTATTTGTTAGTGGCTTCGCCCTCTGAGTCTCCCAGGTAACAGCATTCGCAGCATTTTCAAACAGGAAGTGGAAGAGGAGTAGGACTCTGCTAGGGGGTGACTTGCTCTTTAAAAAAACTGAAGGTAACCCTTTAATGTTGTTTTATTGTTGTTGCCGTGTCACCGACTCTTTGTCAGGATGAATCCCACCGAGAAGGAGCTGCTGTGTGACTCTGCAAGCATTCAGGCTGACCTGCCAAGATCCCAAGCTGCTTCAGGGAAAAATCCTTCCAGGTTCTTATTTAAATGAGAAAAGTAATTTTATGTATTGATTTATGACAGAGCGGCACCTCAAACAGCGAGCGCATCATAATAAAGCTCAGTGTGGCATCTGAGGCGCAGCAGGACGCATCCCAGCAGCTTACCTCAGCTCACCTCTTTGTAGAACATTGTGTAAATGTCGCCGGGTAAATAGAGCCAACCTTGTGTCATCCAGCTGTCTGGGATGACTGATGGAAGCAGACCTGCAGCAGCTCCTCATTATAAACTTGTTTGTCGATCTCGTGCATAAACAGAGGTTTTTGCTTCAGCCGGAATATTTTATGGCGTGCTTTTAAAGTTTTTAAAGCTCCTGGAAATAAGTTCCCTCCACAATCTGAATTACTCGTAATCCCATTTTCCCGGGGCCCACCTGAGAGGTAAGCAGTCATCCCTGCAGGTTAGATCTGGTTTGTTTGCCTTTCGAGCCGAGGGAAAATTGGACGGAGACCTGTGATGCTTCAGATTTATTCTGGTGTTCGCACATATTTCTCAGAAAACGGAATAAAGGCAGCATAAAAGAAGAATTTCAAGCAGCGTGTTCGCTCAGTGGAAGGAGTAAACAGCATTCTGTCATTGTGCTGCTGATTCTGGGTTTATTGCACTTTGATATGTTTTCTCAGCTCTTCAGAAAACAGAATTTACCAGAAGATTCTCTCCTCACGGTGATGAAATCTGGTCAGTTTAACGGGTCTTATAGAACAGGGGAACCTTTAACCTCCTAGTGGCTTTTTGCAATCTAATTTGGTTTATCTTGATATTATTTTAACAATTCAGTTTGAACTGATTCTTTTAGCATTGTTCATCCACTCTTGTTTTCTAAACGTGTTTCTCATCAGGGCTGCAGGGAGCTGGGCTCTAACTCCAGCAGTCATCAGGTGGGCGGCGGGGACACCCTGGACATGTCAACAGTGCATCATAGGGACACACTACTAGTCACACACTAACATGCTAATTCCACTTATGCATGTAGAACATGCT